GTCATTTTTCTAATCTCTTCTTTTTTTTATCAATGTCTTCTTTAGAAGTAGTTATAAATTCTTTTACTGCAGTGCTTTTTTTCAGATTGGATTTCCTGCCTACGTTTCTGTAGTTGATTCTTTACTTCAGATGCTATGAGTTCTGAGAATTCTTTTTTTATTTCAGAAAATAATTCTGCTCTGAGTTCCTCTATAACTTTTTGCTGTTGCTTATTTACAATCAATACTATTAATTCATACATTTTAGCTGAGCTAGTAGAAAAGAATTCCACTCTGAGTTCCTCTATGAGTTTCTGCTGTTGCTTATTTACTAACGACTCTATTGATTCATACATTTGAGCTTAGCTAATGTCCTCTGTACTTGTTGTGGGTGGGCATTGGGTTTCCTCCATAAGTTTCTACATTTGATTCTTTACTGCAGATGTTATTAATTCAGGGATTTCTTTTTTCATTTACAATCTGAGTTCCTCTATACCTTTCTGCAGCTGTTTCTTTATTTCAGAAGCCGTTGATTCATTGATTTCAGCTGAGTGATTCTCAATTTGTTCTGTGTTAGTGTCCTCTGCACTTTTTATGGGTAGACTTGGGTTCTGAGATTTGATTTTGCTCCTTCTTGTTGTCATTTTGTGTAGCACTGTCTTCTGACCTTTGCTGTAGATCTTTTGTGCAGTTATAACCTTATCACCTACTGAAGTTGAGGTGCAGATCTACAAAGTTTGAATTTATCCAGTTGTGCCTGGCTTGGTTCTGGCTTCTATGCTCAGCTCCTTCCTGCTTCTGCCTTTGGGGGGTGAACCTGTTGTGCCCCTCTGGCAAGATGTTCTGCTCCTGGACTAGCTGGGTGGTTCTGTCCCTTACACTCTCTAAAGAGATTGCAGGTGCAGTTTTTCACCCCAAGCGTGTATGCCAGGCCTGAGCCAAGTCTGGAGGGGTCAAGGTGGAGTAGGAGTGAGAGGCAGCTCTCCCACACACTCACTGGGTCTGGTGTAGGACTGGATCTGGGGGTTCCCCGAATATGACAGAAATTCTTATTCGGTTGTCGGGGTGGGGGTAACTACGGAGTGGTGGGTGGCATCCCAAGGGGGTGAAAGAGGGTCTCACCCACACTGCGCCTGGCCTGGGACCGGTAGGTCCCGTCAGTGCAGCGTAGCCAGAATCTCTCCCACACACTCACCAGGCCTGAGGTATGACTGGATCTAGAACTTAATCTGTTGAAACCTTCATCTCCCCATTCTTAAAATGGATAATAATTTCATTTTTATAAATATTATTAAAGATAGTGTATAAAACTGCATGAACTATCATAAATGTTCCTTGAATTCCTTAAATTAGCTTTTTAAAATATTAAAGAATATTTTAGACTTACAGAATAGCTAGACAGATAATAGAGATTTCATTTACCTTTCAGTTTTCTCCATTCTGAATGTGTTAACATTTGCTACATCAAATAAATAAAATTGATGTGTCAACAATGAATAAGCTTTATTTGGATTTTACCAGGTTTTTATGAAAACTTTTTGTTCTAGAATCCGTTCTAAATCATCACATTTGGTGCATTTGTTGTCTGCTGATTGGGCTCCAACCTGCAGCATTTTACCCTTTTCCTTGTTTTTCATAACTTTATGGCTTTGAGGAGCAGTGTCCAAGTCGGATGCCCTCAGTCTGGGTTTCTGTGCTGTGTTTCTCAGCATGGGTGGGAATGCAGTACTCCGAGGGGCATGTGCTCTGGCCGTGAGGGCAGTGTTACTCATCTCGTCTTCATCACTTGGTTACTTAGTGCCTGGATGTTTTTTCACTGCATTTTAAGTTATTTTTGACATCTGTCACTTACATAGGACTTTCTTTTTCTTCTTATCTTATGTGTGTGTGTGTGTGTGTGTGTGTGTGTGTGAGATTGAAGTTTGGACCTTGTGTTTGCCAGGTAAGCGCTTGTGCTGAGGAGCTACATTCCTGGCCCTATTCTGTGTTTGTAATGCTGTCCAGTTAGATTTTACTTCAAATTGTCATCTCCTTAGAAGTATCTCTGCTGACCCAAGTGGATGTGATTTTTTTCCTTGCAGGCCAGTCTCTGTGGTGTCTCGCTTTCCTGTCTTCTTCACAGCATTTATAGTGCCATCACATCATAATGAAATTGTCTACAGGAGCTGAGCTGTTTGTGCTTCCCTCCCCACAAAAAAGCATCAGCTTTGTGCGCAGTCCTGGAGGGGCCATGCGCTGCTGAGCATGGGAGTCAGCCCGGAGGCCGGGGTGCGACTCCCTGCAGTTGTTGAGAAAAGCTGAAGAAAAGAAGGTCCAGAGGTCATTAATTAGTATTTAAAAAACTAGCTGATTAGTGAGAAGTTTAATTTAAGGTATTTAGCTTGTTTTTGTTTTAATAAAAAATTGAAATTAGTTATCAATACCCATGAATAAAGTAAATAGTATTTTTGTAATTCAAGCTCACTTACTAATGTACTTACAAGCTCAGGATTCTGTCATTGGATCCCCAGATCCTCATGCCTTACCAGACCTACCCTTAAGGCATCCTGAGCCAGCCCCCCCCCAAAAAATTTTTTTTTTAAAGAGAAATAAAGCAAAAACAAATAACAAAAACAAAGATAAAGCAACATAAAACAATAAAAGAGATACAGGATTTCAAAATGAGACTAGAAAATTAACAATGGTTGTCATATTATGCATTGTTATCATCAAATTCTACTGCATTTTTATGTATCCATACTTTTGTGACCTTTGCTTGTGAACTGTTCTTTCCTAGTGTGGAACTCCAGAATTTGCAGAATATAAAACTAATTGATGCCTTAGATTGACTTACAGCTTATGCTTCTGTGTCTGTTTTCATTTATATTGACAGAAAAATGGATGTTTCATGATTAAGTTTTTCACAAGATCCATTGTAATATACTACTTTGTATTTATCTTCTCAGGACTTAAAATCTCCAAGCCAGAGGGATGAGATTGCAGGAGCCCGGGCCACCCTGAAGGAGAACTCCCCTCTCCTGCATTCCATCTGTTCTGCTTGCTTAGAGCATTCTGATGTTGCTTCCCTCCAAGCCAGCAAGGACACAGTTTGTGAGGAGATTCAGAAAGCCCTCAACGCAATTTCATACGCTTCCCAAGGCATTCCGAGGGCACCAGCCCTGGAGGAGCCTCAGGCAGCCACCCTGGGAAGTGCCCTGGATGAACTGGAGGTAAGTGGAGGGATGATAAAGTGTCAGTCCATCTCTCAGCAGTAACAACAACAAAGCAAAAAACAGAAACAGGCTTCTAAGTCCAGGTCCTGGAACTTAGAGTGTTAAAAAAGGAAAAATCCAGTTATCTCTTCAGTCTCTTTGACCATATGCTGTCCTCCCATGAATTCCTAGGAAAACTTTGTATCACTAGACTACCAAAGAAGCCAATGAATCTGAGGTGGAATTGGTTATTAAAGGGAAATAAATTTTTTTACAACACAGGTCAATTTGTAAAATGTAGGATTTCTTCAATCTACAAGGACGTGTGATAGGCACTGTTCTGGATGCTCAGGGTGTATCTGTCCACTGCTCTTCACAAAGGCTTACATGTTTTAAAATTTTAATGTTACAAAAAGTAAAATTTTCTAAGAAAATACTATGAGAGTAACCATAGCTGATGCACTGTGTATGATGATCTTTGACATAGCTACTCAGAGTATAAGACAGATGGAAACATTCTTATAAGGAAGAGACAAACAAGTCACAACACAATACTTTCTTTTCAATGAACTTTGAGGAACTAGAAGTACAAATGAAACAATTCAGCATATCTATTATTTTTGAAACAAGAGGATATATAGTTTGTGAAATTATTTGAACCTCTCCATATTTCCTATTTATCTATCTCCTATTTTGCTCTTTGCCTATCTATCTGTCTGTCTATCTATCTATCTATCTATCTATCTATCTATCTATCTATGTATGATTTCTGATTGAGAGGAAGCATTTGATATTTTATCTTGTATGTCTGTATTATTTCACTGAACATTATGCTCTTGAGTTGCATCCATTTACCTACAAATCCCTCAAGTTCATCTTTCTCCATGGTAGATTAACACCCTAATTGTGTAGAAACATCACATTTTCCTTACCCAATCATCTGTTGATAGACATATATGCTAGTTATTATAAACTGTGCTGTATAGATGTGGTCATGCATGTATCTGTTACGTGGTGACTTTAATTAACTTCTGCAGAGGTGCCTAGAAGGCAGACGGTGTAGTCAAATGGAATTTCCAGCTTTAGTTTTTTGAGAACTACTCATGCTGATGTCTCTAGTGGCTGTGTCAGTTTATACTTGCATGAACCCTGTGAAAGTGTTCCTTTTTGCCCACATTAAAGTTGTCATTTGTTATGATTAAATTTTTTAATGACAGGCATCCTTCCTGGAGTAAAATGGTATCTCGTTGTTGTTTTAACCTGCATTTCTCTAATGGCCAGTGGGGCTGAACATTTTTCTTTCTCTTTTTTTGGCTGAACATTTTTTCATGTGTTTATCGGCCATTTGTACATTGCTGAGAAGTATTCATTTATTTAAAAAAAGCCTTGGCACGGCGGCACACGCCTGTAGTCCCTGTGCTTGGAAGGCTGAAAACAGGAGGTACACTACAAGTCCCATCTATGTAGTAAGACCCTGTAGACTCTACTAAGTACATTTTTAAAAATAAGTATTTATTTATTTAGGTTGCCCATTTTTTGATTGGGTCTTTTATTTGGGAGTCAAATTCATTTTAGTCATTTATGTATTCTTAGTGTAGTCCCCTACGAGGAATCGCTGGCAAACTCCTTCCCTCCTGCAGGCTGCCTCGTAACTGTTGGTTTCATTGGCTGTGAGGAAGCCCTTTAACCTGACAGGACCCCATGTGCCAATTCTTGGTGTCATTTCTAGTGCAACCAGGGTTCTATTCAGAAAGTCCTTGCCTATGCCTGCCTTGACTCTTACCTGTTTTATTTTATTTTTATTTTTTATTTTTTTATT